GCGACAACTAACTAAGAAAGTATAATGAAAGGATAGGACTCTAAAAGACATTGATGGATCATCCATTCATTTTAGCAACAAATATGTAAATTACGAAGAATTATTTAATATCAAATTACTATTCCTTTTTGGGATATAAAAATGAAAGCAATTAACTGGAATTAAAGAACCAACTAATTAATTAAAAAGTTGGTTGAAAAGTTAATCAGGAATTGCTATAAAAATCATTACAAATTGATTTATCATTCCAGTATTACCTGAAAAAAACAAACAAACAAACAAACAAATTGGAAGAAGAAAATACCTTAATATTACTAAAAAGTACTTCTGAAGCTTCTTCAGCTGCAGCAATCCTCTGAAGTTGAATCTCAAGACCACCATAAGTACTCGTACTTTCCGCTTCCATTTGACTTGTGATGATATGCCGATGTCCACTACTACTTAACACTTTGGTTATATCCGCTCTCGAACTTTGCCTTTCTTCTTGAACCGCTATAACCAAACATTTATTTATTTTTTGCCAAATTTCAATCAATTTAAAAAATAATATTTCAATAATTATAAATTATTTTAAAATATCATGCATCAATTTTGAATAAATTTGAATTTGAATTGGTCAAAGGTGCATTACTTTTAATTACCTATCCATAAAAGTTAAATAATTTACGAACTTGATTAAAATTGTAGAAAGTATTGTATGGAAGAAAAAACTTATGAATAATAATTCATAAACTACCAATCAATGACTTTAAAATAATTATTTAAATCTATTTAGAAATAGGAAGGAATCTTCTTTTAGCTAAATATTAATAGTCGTGGAAAAGTTAGAAAACCTAAAATGAATTTAAAGATCTCATTTTTTTTTTTTTCATTGATCAAGTTGATCACTTAATTGATCATATTGAATCGTATCAAATGAGTGATTAAAGATGAAAATAATTAAACTGATTTAAACAATATCCATTCATATATGCGATATTTCTTAAATTTTAAAATAATTCACTTTAGAATATTATTAATGATAAGGTAACGCCAAAATGAACAATCATAGGTATATTTAATCGATTCAATTATTTTGATAAACTTTCTTTGAGAGTAAAATTGAAATGACCAATGGAGACATTTCATAAACAATCATTAGATTTTAATTCATATTGGGATAAAAAATGAAAAAGTATATTTTAGAAAATGACCTTCTCGCTTCATTCCCATGCTTTGACATTTGCGGTAACGACAGTATTGACATCGGTTCCTTTGTCGCTTATCGATGATACAGTTACGATTTTCTCGGCATAAATAGATAAGATCCTTGCGTACCGTTCGTTTGAAAAATCCTTTACAACCTTCACAACTGTAATTAACAAAA